CTTACATCTCTGAATAGACTTTCACCCCTCCTTTACAAAACGAAGCTCTTAGAGACAAATCGTAGCTACTCACATACCACTCTTAAAATAGTTCCACCTACAAGTTATACAAAGTTCACGTTACTCGGACTTTTTAATAGTTTGTATACTTTGTGTATGGTTGAGACCACCTGCATTATCTCAGTGTTCACCCCAAATCAAATTATTATTCTATATTATATATTTTAAAGTCTGCGATTATGATTTTAAACATCGTGTTCCATGAAAGAAATAAACATTTATGAAATGCGATTAGTTAAAAGGTACGTACCACATGGTGATATGGATACATTACTACATTTGGTTTTATATAAATTATTCCACAATATTTCCGTAAAATACTTTTTATAAGTTAATCATATGATTATTAAATTAACGGCCGGCGACGCATCTGCAGATCCTATGGTGTTGTGGATGTCCATAGTGTCGTAGATCACCTCGGTGTTCCTGCCACTCGTTTGCCCCGGTCTCTTATAAAAAAATAGATCTTGATAGGATTCATCAATATTTTAAGATTTTAAAGTTTCAATTTTTCTTATTTATATCCGCCTCGTGATATTTAAAATTGTTTCCTGTGTTCATGCTTACTCAAAATTATAATTAATAGCCCACTCAAAGCTGTCGTTCAACATTCAACAGGAAGCTCACAAAGTACACGACCTACTTATTTAGTCCGACCCAAGTCGATCGACGTACGATTTGACCTATTTATGAAATTTGCTCATTGAACGCTTTACATCGTACATTAGTCTTGTAACGTACCAAATAAACAAACATACCATAATCGCATAATAAATATAGCAAACATAGTACGTAGAGCGGTCATGATAAGTTTTCAACCTAATTACGTAATGCATTGTGAGCATTATCAACACTGAAATGGGTAGGGAATAAATGTCCTCGACTATACAATGAATGAACACAGCTATCGTTGGAATGCACAATAAAATATTTTAGGAATACGCGCGAACCGGATCGTACTACCGTTAACGTTATATTAAAAAATAAAATCAACTATCAACATTTCGAAGTCGTGGAACCTCTGTCTTGAATAACAACGGAAGTTGAAACTTCGTACCAAAACATTGCGAAACGAATTTTAAACCTTTCATTTGGATTGGATTGAATTCGAGTTAGTATTTATTTTGGAAACAATATTTAAGTTTAAAATGCTTTTTCATAGTTTACATTTCTGTAAAATATTGATAATGGTTATCATTTATTAATTTTGTTATATAAGTCATGTCTATTTAAAAATGGGTGCAATTTACACTCATAGAAGGTTTGTGCTATATGATTGGATTAATTAATTCTATTTTCACTTACATTCATGAATATTTAAGATTATATTTTAAAAACTTTACAATGTTGCACTCATCTCTCCGTTGTTATCAAAATTTTTGTTTTTGCATTATCTTAATACATGTGTTATCTTTACATCAGATAAAGTTGTTGTGTTTTCTTTTAAAATTGTATTTCACTGTATATGTAATATTAAATTTTATTCTAACAGAATAAAGTCGAACTTAAAGTTCCACGTTTTGAAGCGCTCAGAAACCTCAGGTAATTAAGTATTCAATTCATCTGGTAGTAAGCGAGTAGCTTCGCAGTTGGTTTATTGAAGGTCTCCTCCTGGATTACGTGTAATTCGAATTGACTCCTATTAGTAGAGCATTGATGATCGTAAATAATTCGTGACAGTGCGTTGATATTGTGCGTGCACAAATATTGTATTATAATACAACGGTTGGATGGGAGTTTTCAACTATTAACAATGGGATGGAATTAAAAAAATCTTCTAATATAAGATGTAAACGGTAATCGTGTAATCTTCAAGGAGTATACATGTGTTAGTAGTAACTAACGAAGCTAAAGTTGTATCGGCTACTGACCCAGATTCATGTTATGTAAAACAGCGCTGGATAAGAAATAAAAACTTAATAGTAACACAGGTGTTGTAACTGACCACAATCTCTAAAGAGGTCGTTGAACCTCAAACTGTCGCCAGGTAGATGACGTTATTGGTCTTGACAAAATAATTGTTGAATATAATTCACTATTAATAAATTAAAGAGGGCTCATTCCAACGAAAAATAATAAGTTTCTTTTCGATTCTAATCGGCTTTCGCTGCGCCGTTGAGAGAAGGGTTCTTATTGGCTTCAAAACAATACAATCAAAGAAGCTTTATTCACTGACATCGACTCTTTATTGGTTTAATACTTAAGTTATTAATTTATTGTACTTTGAAACAAATATTGATCAAAACAATGGTAAACCGATTTATAAGCACACAAAGTTTGAAACATAAATATTAAAACACAGGCTCATAATATCGGTTCACGCTTCTCTATTGGCATTGAACAGTTTATGATATATGACCCAATATCGGCGTTTAAATACTACGCACGTGATACGCGCGACTGCTTTATGAGTTTCGCTTACGTACATACATACAGTCTGGGTCCTTCGTGGTGTTCCTCTTACAGAAAAAATGCCTCGGTCCTTACGAAACAAACTGCCCCTTCATAAGAGATAACCAAATAGGTAGAAGTGAGTTACGCAAACGTCGTAATATTAATAAGCAATTTATCTTATACCGACATTTTTTCGTAGATAAATTTTAACTCTGCTTATATTGGGTATTGTTTCCGCGTCGTTGTCACGTCTAACGAAACGTTTAAACGACGTTCGCTTTATGGTGGTACCGCCAGATTCCCTGATAGTACATTACATCGGCCACACACTAAACAGTTGACAAATATTGGCTACATATTCATTGTATGCAATGTTTCTCAACTACCGCTAATTAAGAGCAAGGACCAGACGCCAATGGCTATACAACTTCTAGATTATGTAAACAAGTATATTATTATTCTTCATTTCTAAGATTTTTATACTAGTAGTGAAGACAAAGACGAATAATTTTAACAAAATTAAATATTAAAACGTTCATTTCATCCCATCCGATCCTTGTAATGGACATGAATTTCTAAACATTTATTTAATATTTAACTTGAAACCGCTGCTCAAAAGCGAGCTCGAGAAAACGGAGAATTTGTGATTAATTTATTTTCTTTGCAAAGTAAACACGAGTCTTTTATGTCAAGAACACATTAAGCTAGATAAATAAGAGAAAACTATTTTATTACAAGAAAATACAATAAAGATTTTCTTAGAAGCAAGTTCTATCAAGAGAGGTTTGTGTACTTAATTAGATATGCAATTAATTATTATAAGACGAAGAAGTAGAATACATTCAAAATTAAATTCAGCAAGCTTCGAGGAATGTGAAACACTTGCTCCGTCTATTACAATTGTAATAAAATTCTTTACCTTGATCTCACCACACGAGATTCTATAAATTCATTATGTACACGTATTTCAGGATTTGTTTATCGAAAATTATGGTTAGTCTGACCTTGCGCTATATGTCTGCATTGTTTTGTTTATAACTATGAAACATGGTGGTGTGGTGATAAATAACTATTTGGATATCTCACGTGGCTAATATACGAATAACCGAACCGATAGTCCGGTTATAACCGGTTGGTCTATAGCTCTATATGACCTTCGGCCCTTACACACCTGTATTTTGTAGGGCACAATTTGTGTCATTCGGATACCCTTTATGGTCATCTGACGGTTAAGTTACGAAACAATGATTGTATTCATTTACCATTACCGTATATAGTATAGCAAGTTGTTTTAAAAACTTTTCTTTTCACTGTAACCTGATATTGAAGGTTTTATTGAGCTTTATATGTAACGTTTATTTGTATTATATTAGCAGCTCACTGTAGGTCCCCACCAAGGGGCTCCGAGCCTACCCTAAATTAGAGGTGACTAGGCCATAGTCAACCACGCTGGCCCAATGCGGGTTGGTTGACTTCACACATATCTTTGAGTTTCTCCGCAGATATGTGCAGATTGCATCACGATTTTTTCCTTCGCCGTAAGAACGTCGGATAAATGTACATATCGTAAATCGAAAAACACATTGGTACATGGCGGGATTCGAATCCAAGACCTGAAGATTACAAGTCAAGTGCTTTAACGCCTGAGCCACCGACGCTTATTTGTATTACATAGGATTTAATAATGAGGTCGATTATAAGATTTTAAATCTACTACTTATAACTTAACAATAATTCAATGTAAAGATTGATCTTTTTGTAAGGGTTTCTGAAGGTTGTGACGTATGTTGATATTTATACACATTATTTGAAATAGCAACGAATATAGTTTTTATCGTGTGTTTTATATACGTATAGTAAAGTTCGCGTTATTGTTTATATGTTAAATATTTCAGTGCGATGTGGATGTGAGTACGTAAATATTTTGTTTAAAGATAATTAGTAAACAGGAAAATTACAACATCCATAGTAATTCTAAAACATAATAAATAGTTAGCTTTAAATAATATTACATATATCCATAAGTCTATAAAGGATAGACGTTGCAAAAGTGAAAGATTTACCTTATGTTATCTTGGAGAATATTTTTTTTAAGTTATTTTTTACAGTTATATTTGAAATATCGTTAAGTTTAATTTAAATTCATAATTTAGGAATTGTTTCGTAATAATCGTCGAAATGTGCAGGTCAAACTCTTTGTAATAATTTCGTACGAACTTTGTTACTTAATGATAATTGGGACGTTTCGTGGGAACATTCATTGAGAACAACAGACGCACATTGTTCGCTTCAGGCTTAAATTTACTCTTTGACCCGCAATCCCCCAATTACTTTGATTTCCGACTTTCTCTTATTCAATACCATTCTTTTGTTATTCGCACTTTGTTTTATCTTTTATTGTATTTACTAGTAACCATTTAGCGTCTTTTGAACCAAAATATAATTTTGCAACCTGTGTTCTATGTTGCAATTTCTATCTATAATCTTGAATCATGCTATTATTGAGTATAAATTATTTTATAAATTAATATTATGTTGTTTAACAGACATTCCCGACATCCCCGAGGACATCAAGAAGCTGCGCGCGCTGCAAATCGCGGACTTCAGCAGCAATCCGATCCCACGGCTGCCGGCAGGCTTCAGCCAGCTACGGGCGCTCACCGTTCTCGGCCTCAATGATATGTCGCTCACCAGCCTGCCCAGCGACTTTGGAAGGTAACAACATATCACAGAGTACAGTATCGTGTGTACAGTGTAGATGAGACGTAAAGGGATACGTGGGTGGGTCACACCTCTGCGCGTACATTCCTCCACTTACAAAGACATGTGGTGGTAAGTTCTATCAAGCCCTATAAAGTTGGAATATAACAAACTTTTTAAAGATGAGGGACTACTGTGTGAACCGATTTTCTACCATTTAAAAGCAATGAGTACATTTTTGTTGTTGAAATTAAAGTGACTTATATTTATATCAGAAAATAGATTTAAATAACATTAAAGGAAAGATAAAATTGACGGAGACAGAAACTCATTATGATCCCGTTGATACTCGAAGCGTCCTACGTCATTAATTTAACGCCTACGAGCACTCATTACTTTATTTATAGACATTCGGTTCTCTCAGCTATAAATTTGTAATTAATCGCGATTTCTACAACTTCACATTTCGTTTTGATTTGTTATTAATGTGATTACATTTTTGTTATTTTCTCTAACTCTCGCTTTATCGTTATTACATTTGTTTCTAGCTGCTAACAATAAATGTATATTTGGAATATTGAAAGCTGAAATAACACACATGGTCGCAAGATATTTTAACAAAGCGCTTTTTTTGCTTTGTGTTTGATATTTGCAGGATGTAGTGATGAAAAACCTCTCTGTAAGCAATAGATAGCTCAGCAATACGAAATCTCTCGTTGTTCAGATTTTGATTGATTATTTAGATCTATTTAATGCTGTTACACGATATAGGGAACCGTTATGATGATATTCTAATAGACATAAGGAATTTTATCATACTTATATGTACTTTTAATAGTGAAGAGTAGACGCTAACCCAAAGGATGTTTGATTTCTTATCTTAGTATCGAATCTTCATTAGACCACTTCATTTAACTTACATAATAAAAGCAAGTCACGTCTAAATGTTACCGTCTAAGTGCTGTTTGATTTTACAGACAGGCGAAAAGGAAAGTTGCTGGAAAGTTTCGATTGATTCATGAATCTTATCGGAACCAGACGTAATACAAATAGTCATGTTCTTTTTAGATTCATTTCCAAATTTCACGTTTGTCCAATTAGATTACTGGACGAATCGTAAAATAGTGTCCCATATTTAAAGGTTTTCTTTATTGCAGGACTTCATTCTCTTGCGTTTTTGTCTTTATTATAATTGCAAAGAAGTATTTTTATTTGTAGCAATCATAACAGTCTGAGAGATTTTTGTACGTCGCAAGGCCGTTTTAATAATTGCAACATTCCTTAGTGGTGACGATTCGCTATTGTTAAAGCATCTTTTTTTTGTGGCTATATATGCGCGGAAATTGGCGTTAAAGTCTATAGTCCTTATAATTCAAACGGTTATTCAAGTCTGAACATTATTTCTGTTTTTAAGGACAAGATAATTTGTTCGTTGATGTTTACTGAATTCAATCAAAATAAATTGAATAATCAGAAATAATTATTTTTTGCACAAAACAAATTCTCGTTTTGTAAAACAAAAGAATTTTATTAAGATTACATTGACATTACACGTGTTAAGGCATTTCATGTTTCTATGTAATAATTTGTTGCATAAGTTGGATAAACTGGCTTGTGATTTATTAACATTTGGCGTGCGGTTAGGCTATTAATGCACCTATTTGTGAGTTCTCCGTTATCATTGGAGTTAAACGATCGTGTCTGAACCATGATAATTTTGTTGTCCCATAATTTGTCTATAATAAAATGTTATAAAGATGACTAATTGTTGATCGTAGTGACTATTTGTAACTATTTGTTTAAATTATCCAAAAATAATATAGGACTACTAGCTGTCGCCCGCGGCTCTATCCACGCGGGAATATAAATATACAGTATCTGATTCTTAGACCTATTGATTATGCATATAAAATTTCAAAAAAATCGGTCTTGCCATATCGAAAGAGAATAGTAACTGACATACTGACACGAGAATTTAACTATGCGTTTAAATATTATTATCTAAATTGAACGAAGCAGCGTAAGTAAGAACATTGTATATACGTGTACTGGTCAACTGTCTATTGATCCATAGGTTACGGTTTAAAAGGTATTATAAAATAATGATCTTGGCAGACTTGAAGTTTTTATCTCGTCAATTGCTCATTACGACAGGTCCGTTAGTTGTCACGGTGCATTGACTTTGTTTTTGTCGACATCACTAACAACAATTTTAATTTGTTCTCTAACGTTACAATTACCGTAATGCTTTAAGCCTTGGTATTCTCGATGCTTTTGATACAGTCTATTATTTTATTTTTATTACCTTTGAATTAAAATGTAGGTTGCGGTTTTTCTCCTCTTTACCAAGCTTAAAATGGGTAGGTTTAAAAGGGTGCTAAAAACAAAAATCTTTTTATTTGCTACTCTAATGATGAAACAAAATAAAAATAAATTTGTTCCGTTCCAAGTTTTATTCATAATTCCTTTCAAAAGCACTTATACAAACTCCATAGTGAATTGGTTTTTAATTAAAATAATTTTATGAGAAATTAGATTTTTGTTTAAGGACCGTAACAGTTTTTGTTTTCTCTAACTGTATATAGGTCTTGAAACGTCAAGTTAAAGTTAAAACGGAATAATATACGTAAATTGTTGCAGGTTTAACACGTTCAGTGCCACCGACTTGCAATGATATATTACATTTGTATGAAAAATCGTAGTAGCATTTAAAGTGCTAAGGAATTCGAATATTTGTTTACTAACGTTCTTTTTCCTTACTTTTGTTTTAAAGAAGGCAACGAATCTTGAAATGTGGGTCTATGGGTAGCGGTTACTTCGCTAATTTGGCGAATTCCGGTGGCGGCTAAAACAATATATGTTTTTGTGGAATGTGTGTGATAAGCGATAATACAGGGCGTGCCTCGAGACTCACTTTGTGGCGTCGCTCCTTATCTAGTTCCCAGTTTTTATGCAACTTCGGCTTATGTTGTGACGCGTTGATTACGTCCCATGAACACGAACTCTGTACTTGAGTGCCTTATTATACTAACCAAAGGTACTTACTGTACTTGATCTGTTTATTTCCATGCCGCAAGCAACTAACAGTTGATGATGTATCTGCCACCATTTTTTTTTCTAATTTCATTACAAGATATTGTAACGTTTAATAATTAATAGCGTTTACTTAACTCACACAATTTGGTGCATTTGAAGCGTTAAAACGCATCTACCGGGCTTTACGCCGAAACTGGTTTTTTATAGCCACAGTAAACCTAATTACGAGATGTGAGCTGATGCTATTTAACTGGATGCGGTTAAATATAATGTTACGGTTAAAAATTACGGTGTTTAATCTTAAAAAGCGTGCCACCCATTGCGAATTCTGTTAGAAAATATTTAGAATAATTTAAAAATGAATATATCAAATAATCTACGCAGATTTCGGTTTCGACTTTTATATGTTTACAACTAAAATTAATTATCTCTAATGCTTTATACGTTCAAAGCCAATACGATTTTCACTTGTGGCAGTGGACTTGTTGAAAATAAGCCGATAAGCAATATTACGACGTTTATATAAATGAAAATAAAAGGTTGTGTAGCTAACACATGCTTCGTGTAGTACTCGTGTAGTTACGTTTAACCGAGGTGATTCAGCGCAACTATTGTGCTAAACGAAGTGCAAAGAGATCTAAGTACTTTGACATGTGCTTGGAATGCGGCGTCAAGGCCCCGCGCGGGTGACATGAACTACGTATAGGTACTGCGTACTATCAAACATTGTGTAGCGGTGATATTAGTTACGGCATCACGCTATTTTAATGTTCGGTGGCCTTGCGTGGATTGTACATCGTAAATATTTTTCTTAAAGCAATGTTTTTTAGCGTATGGAAATTCCGTTTTCAACTGCCGATTTTCCTTCACGATTGAATTAGATTTTAATTGTATTTATGTGTAAAGTGATACCAATTTTCTATCACAACGCTTTTGCTGTTCAATTTTTATAATATCAGAAGACGTCTATACTTTTTTACATCAGAAAATGAACTGCTTCACTTGCTATCTATCTTAAACAACATCCAGCCTTTTATTTGTTATTTACTTAACAAACAAGGTTATGCTATTTTTATAATGCCTGCATCGACCGGTTTTTCTACATTAAGAGTAGTGTAATGAGAATATCTTTTTCAGTTTAATACTAGCTTTTGCCCGAGACTTCGTCTGCTCCGAAATAAAAAACTTATTTAGTAGTCTATGTTCTACACCCGTGCTAAATTTCATAGAAATCATTTAAGTCGTTTTGATGATAGTAACAAGCATCCATCCATCCAAATATCGCATATATAATATTAGTATGAAATCAATTCTTCTTGTCGTCAAAAGCGACGTAGAGCTACCTTACTAGGTTGGTGTGATCAGGTAACTCGGTCTTAAATAGTAGTAGAGATAACACTTCGTTTCGTTTGATTAGTTCGATGAAAATGTTTCAGGATTCTCAGTTTACATTGTCTCGTTACATGTTGAGAGTATTAACCATTGTGTAAAAAGGTACAAGTAGGTCTTATGAGGCTATAATATTTTAACGTCTTAAACAAAATAAAACACACTTTTTAACGTTGAAACAAATTGCACACGTGTCAACATTAAGTGGTATGTCGCCATTTCGTTTAAAAACAGGCGAAGTGTTATAAACAAATGTTTGACATATTTTTTTTAATATCTCAGAATTACGATTTCGCGGTAACGTAACCCGGTTTCTTTAAAAAGCTTTGAACTCGACAAGTTCAGAGCTTTTATTTCATATCAGTTGAAATCTTGCTCAGAATAAAATTGTTGAGCTGTATAATTCTTTTTTATGTAATTTAAGCTTGTTTTACTGTTGTTTAAAACAAATTAAAATAAATTTTTTGGATTACTTTATTGCATTTGATAAATGTTCACACTCAACAACATAATGAGATCTTATTAATAACTATGTTTATAACTTAAATGTTTACATTTTCCTCGTAGAATCATCTGTGCAGTAAATAATAAATGTTTATGTAAAATAAATAAATAAATAAATAACATGTGTCATAATTATTATTAGTGTTTTTGAAATATAACGTAGAAAAAAATCTAATTTTACGGTAAATCGCTAACCATAAGACTAATATGTGTGATGCAAAATACGCAGTAACTGTATTCCATGAACGTGCATAAGTTACGAAGTTATTCAAGTTATCGAGCTTGCTTACAATAATGCTAAGAGTTTGTAACAACTAAAAAAAATACAAAAGAATATGCTGTAAAAACATTCAAAACTACACAAAAGAAAATGAAAGTCTATTGATAAAGTCTATCGTAACCACGTTTTTTGTACTATGAGAATATTTAGAATTTCAACACTCTATTATGCGTGCATTTTTCAGTCCTATCGTTATGTAAGAAAAACATATTAGCATATGTATATATGTACATATATCTTCTTTGAAAAACTGATCTAATATGTCGTTGTACTTGTTTTTCCTCAGTGAAAACCCTATTTTGACATGGATAGATTAAATTTTAACGAAACAAATCCTTACTAATATTATAATTGAGAAAGTAACTCTATCTGTCTGGCCTTCTTTCACGCAAAATCTACTGAACCGATTTAAATTAAATTTGGTACACTGACAGTCTAGAACCCGGGAAGGGACATAGGCTACTTTGTGTTTAATATTCCATTTACGCATAATGAGTCATACTCATAATCCCAACAGTTATTATTTGAATACAGTAATCCGTCACTATTGTTTCCAAGTTGTTTGGACAAAATATAAAATGACACGCTATGACGAACCTTCAGATTATTAGGCCAAGGCAATGCCAAAAGAAGTTTCTTTGATATATGAATCCTAATAAGATTTACGGTTCCATTAGTCATGTGGGTGCTCAGTATTGTAATGCAAAACGCATACGACGATTTAACCGAAGCGCAGTTTATTAAGAAAACACTATGACTAACTTTAACTGCGTCAAAGTAAATTAAAAATAGAAGTTGAGTTCTAAATGAATATTATTTCGTAAGATTTCAAATAATTATCAAAAATAAGATATGTTATGTCTACATTTTACTGAATTAAATTCCATTTTTGTATATGCATTCTATGAAAAATGGAGATTTCGTATTTGTTCTGATTTTAATCCCAGATATATTTTGTACATATAAGTTTACTTAGTTATGAACAAGGATCGTTTACTGTTCAAATAAAAAGATTTATATGAACACGTTGTACGAATAACATGAATAAAAATTTTAAACTTTAAACTTGTTAAACTTACATAAATGCTTAAAACAATTTAAATTTTTGTATTATAGTAACAATAGTATTAAATTAATTAGTAATTTATTTTTCTTCTCTCTAAAATTATGTTGAACGAAAGTTTTAAAATGATTACATTGTGTCTGTTATGGGTGGGACTAAAATACCCCAGTTGGGCGTAAATACTGGGGAAAATACTTTAGTAAGCTACGTAACTATTAAGTAATTAGAAAAGCGTATTTTTCTCGTCATTTTACTGTAAGGTTTCTCACAAGTACATTGGCAGTGCATTCACGTAACCTTATTCTATATTTATATAATCTGTGTAAATGAAGTATACATGGATCACCACAACTCGCGTGCGTTTGTTAATTTAACAGAAATTGTACTAATTAACTAAAACAATCGACATATGTGTAACCGTCTACGCGCTTTATGCTCTTGGCCTATATTTACTGTTCTTATTGTAAGCTTTAGTTAAAATCATTTCCAAGGTTTATTAAAACTGTTACGCCTTCATTCTTACAAATTTATTCTTTTTAAACTATGATTACGAAAGGCATATTTTTATGCTTTAATATGCGGTACATTTGTAGAAAGATTTAACGTCCACCAACATCGTCATGAACTTAAAGTGTCTTTAATACGTAGAAATAGCAACAATTTAGTATTAAGTAGTAGATCATTGGATCATAGCTTTGTACATAGTAGTAAGTTTTAATAATGTCCGATACTTACTCATAATTACACTTACTTTGATATAAATTTTATGGTTATTCTTGTCTATGCTTGTTTAGTGAAAATCGTGACAGTTTATGTATTCACCGTCCGTTCCCGAAACGAATCGGCATTGTTAAATGCTATCTTGGGTTACAGTTGAGTTTAACAAATGAAATCTTTATTTCCAGCCTGATGTCATTACAGTCGCTTGAGCTGAGGGAGAATCTGCTCAAATCTCTTCCGGAGTCACTTAAAAATCTAACCAAATTGGAAAGATTAGATTTGGGCGACAATGAAATAGAAGAGTTGGTAAGTTTTTATTTTACATCATAATAATGTTAGAATATTTGTTTCTTTTAATGTTATTCTAAACATTACATTATATCAACTTTATTCGATAGTTGCATGGTTATATGTCCATGAAAATAATTGACATCAAATTGTTTTAAACTGCTTTGAAAAGAACACTAGGCGTAAAAGTTTTATTTTATGAAATGTATTTTAAGGAAACAAAAGGTTCATTATTATTAAAAGTTTAAAGTGCTCGCTGCATTGTTGTTGGATTGTCGTGTCGTGGGAATGAATTCGTAATAAATAGCAGCACGACTTGCAATTAAATTAAAAACTTTCTGTAATCCAAACTGTATAGAAAACTGCAATTGAATTGTACGTGAACAATTTATATTACATTAAAATGTTCTTTGGTTAGTTAATTGTTCATGTTTAATGAATCATATATGAAATAATAAATTTCATATAGTATGGTGAAAGACATTCAAAAAACAAAACCCAAAAATTTCTATAACAGCTCTATGTGAATAAAAATTTGTTTTACATAATAATTTAAATGTTTGTCCTTTCAGCCAGGGTTCATCGGTGAGTTACCAGCATTAGAAGAACTATGGCTAGACCACAACAAACTGCAGTATTTACCGCCAGAGATCGGAAACCTAAAGGCGCTTATATGTCTGGACGTCAGCGAGAACAAGTTGGAGAAACTGCCGGAGAAAATCGGAGGCCTTTGCTCTCTGACCGATTTGCATCTGTCACAGAACATGCTCGAAACTGTGCCGGATGGTATCGGAGATCTGTCTAAGTTGGCCATATTGAAGTTAGATCAGAATCGATTGCATACGTTAAACGAAAATGTTGGAAGGTTAGTTAAGTTTCAGTCTTTTTACTTTCATAGTTGTAGAGTTCATACCCATACTTGTATTGTACTTACACTACCTTTTCCTAATCTTGGTTTCTAAGAAGTAATAGTAAAACCTGGTCTAGTTTTAAATTCAATATGTTAATCCAATTTGAAATTTATTGTTGTTCTCTTATGTCTTAACTTATTTATACATTATAATGACCTGAGCAACAATCTTACTAATATTATAAATGCGAAAGTTTAGATAGATGGTTTGGTTATAAGGTATCTCCGGAACGGCTCAAAGGATTTTGATTTTTTAAATTTGACACATATATAGAACTTATATAGCCTTCAAGAAAAAATAGCGTACCGAGCCTCGGGCGACATGTAGTATTTTATATAATGTTGCCGTGTTACTTATAAAATGTATAATTTTCCAGATGCACGAACCTTCAAGAGCTAGTGTTAACAGAGAACTTTCTAATGGAGCTACCGAAATCGATAGGCAACCTCAACGAGTTAACAGTATTGAATGTGGATAGAAATTCATTAGCAGATATTCCCATGGAGATAGGCAATATGACGCTGCTGGGTGTGTTGAGCTTGAGGGACAATAAACTTAAGAAATTGCCTAATGAATTAGGGAATTGTAAATCTTTACATGTTCTGGATGTCAGCGGCAATCGGTAAGTCCTATAAATTATATATTTCAAAGATGTTTTAATGTCTAAATAGAATAAGGTACAATCAGTTATATTTGTTCATGAGTTTAAACGATATAATAAGAAATTTAGAGAAAGGAGATAAAATATTTCACTTTTAGATTTGACATAGATTGATTAAGTTGAAGATTGACTCCCGTCAATACAAAACAGTGATATCTAAATGATAACATTTATCTTACTAAAATAAAAAAAATTGTCTCCTCTGATGAAATTAAATCAATGTTACAATTTTTGTTGTGAGTTTTTGTTTCTATTTTTCAGGTTACAATATCTACCGTACACCCTGGTGAACTTGGAACTGAAAGCGGTGTGGTTGTCAGAGAACCAAGCGCAGCCTCTCCTCACCTTCCAGACGGACAGGGACGAGGCGACAGGGGAGAACGTCCTCACTTGCTTCTTGTTACCCCAGCTCAGTTACACACAACAACCAGGTATGAACCTTAGTACACTGCACATTAAGCTGTTTTTGTTTTCCTTTGCTTTTTGGTGTCGTGTTTGACCAAACGATGTTGTTTTTATAAACTAGTTGTCTCCCTCAACTTTATCTCCGTGGAATATAACTACAGAGTATTTTATGCGTTATTTATCTCTGTTCGAAAATAAATTCAAATGCATTTAGATATACTGGAGTTTCGCGGTAACGTACATTCAAACTTTTGTATTTATGTATATGTATGTATATGTAATATTTATAATATTAGTACTAAGTTACTTTCTGGAAGTATTTGGTTGTTTATAATAGTGACGTATGAAAACAACATTGTGAGGTATGGACGCTATTTAGCATACTAAATATCGGTTAAGTTTGGATTATGAGTAGCTTCGACATAGTTACATTAATATGTTTTTAAATAAATATAGTCAGATCACTTTGCCTAAGATCTGACCAAAATAAAAGAATATGTTAACGTTAGTATTATATTCGTTATATTTTGATTTTTATGCAAATTGAAACATCTTTTTTTTTCTTTACCTCCTTAAATAAAGTCATAGATGACTATTATTATATAGATTTATTCTATTGCCCATCATTGAAAAAGAAAGTAATAAAGCGAAATGTTTGAATTAAAGTTAAATACGTTTAAATGATATAAGTAGTAAATTATTCAAACTTTCGTGAGACTTTATACTAAACTGATATATAAACACGGCTAAACACTCACGTATATTCGTCCGGTGGCTTCATCAGGATGAGTGGTACTGGTATTATTTCGCGGACGCGGCCCGTCGCTCACTGATGAAGGGCCCCCGATGGGCTCGAAACAAGTCGGTGTCGCCACCGGACGAATATACGTGAGTGTTTAGCCGTGTTTATATATCAGTTTGATATAAATAGTATGCTAAATGTTATAAATGTTAAGTATTTTGTCCGTTGTATAATATTTTATTTGCGCTTAATATGCTTTTGTTTCATTGTGCGAGTTATCACGGATGCTTATAAGATTTTACTTTTCATTTTTTTTTTGTTTCTTCAAATTGTTACAATTACCCCATACTTTGTTTTTAAAAAGTGTATGTTCCTATAAGCAGCCGTGTGACAGTGTTGTTTTTGTTTTTGCCGTGTAAATATACTAAACAAATACTTTCCACACTTTCACAACAATATTAGAGTTGGATCACACGTCAGAGGTCGGCAGTGTAACGTGGTTCAGGGATCACAGATTTAATTCACAGTCACAGGAGCTAGATAGGATAAGAGGTAAGTACAGTTATGTGTTATAGACGTTTTCAAATATCTTGGCGGCTCGGAACATTGTACAGATCGCTGCGCAATTAAGTGTAGGGTTATGGCACAGCGCAGTGCACAGATCAAGGTCATCCGCCGAGATATTTGAAAAGACATGTACCTTAAAACTAAACTGCCTCGACACTTCTATTGACTCTTGTTGTCTTTGTTATGACAGAAGGAATAAAAGGGATAGCAATATTAAAAGACCAAGTGTCACAGCAGTGAAGTTGTATTATAAATACAGATAAAATATATATTTCGTTTATTCTATGAATATGAATTTTAAGATATAAGAAACTCTTTTTTCTTTGCTCGCATTTTTCACGCAATTTTTGTTGAGCACAACCGCACCGGTGATAGTAAAATGCTTACACACTATAAGTTATTTATAGAGCTAAATTAGATGTCGTTTTTAAATCTTCGTTTAGGAACAAAGAGTGATCTTGCTACGTAGTATAGCCACAATTAGAGAATAATTCTTATATATTAAAGACACTGTCTGTTTGTTTGTTTTAAATGTGTTTTGTCTGCTTTACTCATGTTTTTATGTTAGTCGATGTTGTATTCCTGAATGTATCAGAAAGGGTTGAATACATTTCGTAATAAAAACCTCATTGACTCCAGTAATCTGTTCCCGGTATGTATTTATCCAACAAAAGTGACGCACAAAAAAAATGTTGACAATTTTAGGATGCTGAAATATATTTAATTCTTGGGCCTTTTGTTACTAACATTTGGCTGCCTTCTCAGTCACAATATGTAGCACTAGATATCGTACGCGATTCCTTCCGTGCGATATTAAGAAAACACTTAATTAGTAACCTATATGTTTCTTCAGATTATGTTCTACATCTATGACAAAATTCATCAAAATCCGTTGAACCGTTCCGAAAATACCGTTTAACAAACATTCATTCATCCATCCAAACTTTCGCATTTATAATATTAATAGTAAGACTAATTAGTAAGTAAGGTTGACAAAAATAATGGATAATGTATTTTTTGCAATATTTAAATACGAAATAGTAATATTTGTGTCATTGAACAGAATCGAGCGTATGCCGAGACCACGACTCTGACGACGACTGGGAGGAGAAGGAAGCATCGAGGACTCACTCCGTCAAGTTCACAGAAGACGTTTCCGAAGCTAGAGAGGTGAGGATATGCTGTTGTTATTTATTCACACTACGTAAACGCCCCGGCGTCACTCGCTTCCCACGTATGTTGTCGTATGTACCAGCAGTACACAACATTAATACACGCGTAAGAGATAGGTGTAGGAAAGTTAGATCCTGGCTTAGGAGCAAAGTACGTATTTGCTCGAGGCACCGAGCTTATTCCGCAATGAGCTCTATTCTTGTAGCATTAGAGTAAGTTTTCCTTTGTTTGAGATTTAAATATTCTGGAAAGTTGATAGTTTTGTAAGTGCATTGTGTATTTAAAGCCTCTATTTGCACAGAATATGTAAACAAATTGTTGTATATTTTTTTTTTGTACAGTGTATAACAACAACAGATTGAACAGTATTATTTGTTTTTTAGTTTATTTTATTGTAATTTAATAAAGTTTATATTACTATTATTGTTTTATTTTGTATTTTTTTATAGCTTGTGTTATTATTGTTACTAACTGATTGTTTCATTATTTTTAATTGTTTTTTTTTTTGTATTAATTTTATGTTTTATATACTAGCGCAACCACGAGTTATAGTGATTCAAAGTTATGTAACAAAAATTACTTTTATTTACATCAGTTTACTAAAATTCTTTTATAAAAGTTGATATAACGTAGGTTTCTGAGACAAAGTTCTCCGTTTAAAACATATTGTTATTTCTGTTTTATCAAAGATAATGACAGGGATCACGATATATTTAATACAGAGGTTTTGGTCTCAGAAATCCACGATTAGTTGTCCTATGCCCAAATAAAAGTACTGTAAATATTGTTCAACAATTTATTCAGTGTCAGGCGTGCGCTAGTATATTATATTTAAATATTGTGTGTTTGTGGTTTGTTCGTTTTTTTCATGTGTAATTATGTACATTTCATACTAGATATCAAATATCCCGTTATTTTGTTATGTTGTGTACATGTTTTGTATTTAAATACACGTACTTTTGTTCCCGATACATTTGTGAAAGAAAAAAATTCATTCATTAAATCATTTTTATATGATTTTAATATTATTCAACGAACATAGAGTAATCTTTATAGAATTAAAGGGCAGTTTTTTATATCAAAAGTAAGATCATAGAATTATGACTGCTTTGACAGTATTTTGTATCTTTGTGTTTCGTTAACATGCAAAAAAAAAAGATAAAAATATCTACTAGTTGCAATTTATCAAGCAAAGTGGGGTGAAAATAATTAACACAACAATTTATTTTATTTTATTACACAAAATGTATATAAGGCGTACACATAAGACGAGCATATGAAGATGTATGAATGTGAAAGAAAGGTCTTCCGGTCTTCAGGATAACGTCACTAAAATTCCTTGTATCTCGTCGTGAGTTATTCTGTTCATTTGTTAATCGAGTCTTCTTGTTGTTAGTTTGTTTTTGTAGTTGTTTGTTGTTGGTGGATAAGTAACATTTGGTTCGAAGGTGCCATCGATACAGGAGGAGAGTGAGAGTTCAGATTTCTCCCTTGGCGGTCTGCGGCGGCCGCTCAGTGCGGTGCGCAAGCTGGTCTCCCAGCGCAGGACGTCTCTGCAACGACTCTCCTCGTTAACTAACCTCAATGAGGTATACGTTATTTCAAATATCTTGGCGGCTAAGGCCATGTGCGCACTGTGCTACCCCCTTTCTTCACGCTACACATAAAATTGTGTTCTTTGCAGCGCAGATATTCCGAGCCGCCAAGATGTTTAAAAACATCTATGATTTACGTGGGTTGCATTCGCAATGTGATTTTAAAAGACCAAATATATATGTTTTGTTCTTAGTTAATAAGAAAATATTACAATCAGGAATGTACTTCAATTTTATTATTAGTCGACTTCAAAAAGAAGGTTATCAATTCGTCTGTATGTTCTTTATTAACACATCCAGTGCCACCGACTCGACTTACTAGTCCACTTTAATACGATTCAACTAGTAATATTTAAAAAGAGTCTGTCTTCTTCTATTAGACTGACAATGATTAAGTCGCGTAATACTTGCATGTTAAAACAAACAGAAATGCATGTCTGATAAAAATGTTATCAATTAATTTAGTTCTGTGTATCGTGTGTTTGCACACTTGTGTAAACACGATACAGGCTTTTATTTGAATATCGTAATTTAAGTAAAAATATATGTTTAAAAAGGTTTTATTGTGAACGCAACCCACGTTACCTTTTCATAAACCAAGTCTTGCCTCTTGATCGTGAATGTTGTCTTCGACTCCTTAGAACCGCAATGTTGTCGCTGGAAGTAGACTTAAGATCATAAATTATTATCAAGAATTTTATGTCATTATTGCCTTTATGTTCTAAGTTTGTATTGTAATATAATTTTTTATTCATTAACACTTTCAGTGCCACTGACTCGCCTGACGATTTGATACCATAAAATTGTAGTGGTTCTAAACGTGTTAATACTTTTATTTATGCCTGATATGAGATACTATTTGTTATGCCTTGATTTTGTAAAATATAATTTAGCAAATTATCAAATTATTTTGTTGCAGTTTTTGCATTAACTATTAGCATTTTATAATATAATTTAAACGTTTGTTTAAAACTTAAGTGTTGGGTTTTCAAATATATGCAATCAATCTTAATAAAATACACTCAGATCAACTAGATAGTGTAGAAATAATCTTTTCCTTATAAAACAACATACATGCTTTTACATAAAGATAAAAAATAATTGCTTTACACATTTGTGTATATTATAAAATTCTAATGCTTTTATCATCTATTTAGAGTATTTAGTTCACATTATTTTTATTCTATTATATTAATAATTAAATTATCGGTTAATCGAAGAACACAGACGTAAACGTTAGATTATTATAAAAAATTGCCACGCACAGATTGGTCAGTTAGGCATTAAGAGAAGGCTTAGTGTATATTTCTCGCAACTAAATCTACACTAAGGGAGTGTTAGAATCACAAATTGCATAATTGGTGTAATAAGCGCACAATCTAGAATATTGTAAGACATCACTGAGCACTGTTTGAACTGCACTTACAGTAGATTAGTGTATCAGTAGGCAGACGTCGACTCTCTGCGAAGGTGAGGACGCGTGTGATATCATATCCTGTACGATGTCATTATGAATCGTTACGACATTCCTTTAATAGGCTTAATCATGTTTTTCGGGTGGGACGTTTTATAGTTCTTTATCCTATTTGTTGCATTTTAGAAAAATATATTTAGTAGGATATTTATGTATTAGTATCAGTTTTATTGCTTTCAATTTTAAATGTATTTTTAGAATAATTGTTTTAAATCGCCTATAGGACGAGTTGACATGTTCATTTCTTTTTTTTTGCTCTAAAGAATTTTTTACTTGTTATAGCATTTGCCATACTCATTGAAACGAACGTGGTTTTATGTTAAAAATCTGATATGCAAGATGCCTCATACAGGACTTGGTGATGCAAGTCAAATAAAACAAACTACACATTTTAAGTCTTAGCTTTTTTTAATTCATGTATCTCATATTAGTAAATTTAGCTCAGCATGTGCATGCATTCCAGTAAAATACATTTTATAGAATTGTCGATACAAATTTAATATTCCTTTGTCAGACACCGTTCGTGCGTCAGAACACACCTCACCCGAAGGAGCTGAAGCTAAAGGCGCACAAGCTGTTAGCGGGCCGGTCGCCGGAGCAGCAGACCACGCAGCAGCCCCCTGCCACCAATGGAATAGCCATGTCGCCGCCCGACAACGAGACCGCCACAGACACAACCGAAGTCAGTACACTATATTCTATTATTTGATTATGACGACCCAATTGAGGCAGTGACTACTTTTAGAGGATGTTAGTTTAGTTGGTGAAAAATTATGTAATGAAAAGCGACAATTCTCATAGAAAACTACGACCACCAACGTATTAGTCTTTGGGGGTGCCAATTTTTTATACCAAAAAATATAACTACTTACCTTGTTGATTTTTTTTCCTAATATAAATATGAGCATATGAACCGTGACCCGCTGCTTTTATTACAGAATATCGAGTTATTATTTTGTCGTTGTAAAATTTTAGTACTAATGAGATACAAACTGACATTTAATTGATTTTAATATTTGATTTACTTAGCCTGTTGAAACACAATCACCGCCCGAAATAACAAGGGACGACGACAGCGACCAAGAAACACAAGAAAAGGAATCATCGGAAGACGAGAATGATGATAATGAAGATTCTGATGAATTAGAGGTAGGTGATAACATATTATTGGTATGCATTTGTTTATCAAAAGCGCCTCTGATCATATTAATAACCGAGTTTATTATGAAAAACTAGCTGTCGCCCGCGACTCCGTCCGCGCGGGATAAAAAATAGATGTTGGTCGATTCTCAGACCTACTCAATATGCTCATAAAATTTCATGAGAATCGGTCAAGCCGTTTCGGAGGAGTATGGGAACGAAAATGTTATATATAAGATGAAGAGTCTTTCTCTTAGACCATATTTAAACAAGTCTAAAATATTAAGTCGATGGTAAATAAATGTAATGCTCAAAGACGCTTGTGAATTGGATATATTAATCTAAAATTGGTATGCTATATGGGGGCTTTAAATTTTCAAAACAATAGTGTTCTGACTGAACACTTTTTAGTCACTAATACTGTAAATTTAGCTTTCGATATAAAATTAATTTATTAACAAAATAAAATAATTAACACGGGAAAGAAGTTAAACTATTGCGGTAATAAATATTACTAACGATAAATCACATTTGGTGCGGTATATTTTTACATTCATTTCCTTGCAATAATTGTTTCCGTTGAAGGGATTGTAAGTACAAAAAAGGTTATGCTGGAAATCAGTTTCCAGTTTTTGTTTGTAATTGCTAAAATATCAAGTTAGGAACATGCTTGCAATACTAGGTAAACCGTAATATAAAGTCACTTACGATCTTGATTTCCCTTGTGTTAGAAATTAATCGCGCACGTTACAACGATCGATATAAACGAAAAATCTGTTGTATATCTGAACTTACGATACAATTTTGATGTGCATACTTTTATCAACATGAAACTGTACAATTAACGTATTGAGAGGTCAAATAAGCCTCTTAATATGGTAAGAGTCAATTCAACTTTGTCCCTGTGCTATTAATTTAAATTATGTAGCCGACTAAGTAGGTATAGATTGAAATATATAGGAACCAGTAATTAAACTAAGTTTCAATTTATTTATATATGAAATATGCAGATGCCGGTTCTCCTAGTATTGCAAGCGTGGTTGATTTGGGGATATTATATTGACCGCGCGAGTTCATGACAACTAAACTTTGAATGAGCATTATTAGTTAACATTACCTGGATGGAAGAATCGATGTTTTCTATCGTAATGATTGTGTTGTGGTTGAACTCTCGCTCGTGGTGAAGCTGTATGGGATGTTAGTGGTATACGTATGGTGTGGTGTGGTGGGGTAGTGCGGTGGGCGGCGCGTGGCGTGGCGCGAGGGCGTGGCGGAGAGCGGCGTGCGCGCGGGTCGGCTGCACCGCCGCGACACGCCGCACCACCTCAAGAACAAGCGCGTCAGCCACATTGACGCAAGTCGCGCGCGCGACCTCATTGCGCAGGTGCAGTCTTTGTCGCTAATTAAACTATGTCCATAACATACATAAATAGAAGCCGTCTCTGTTGTTACTTACACTATACTTTTAACACACATTAGGTTAATTCAGTTTGCTTGAGTAAAACTCTTCCTTTGCGGATTAAGATAGATCCAGTGTCTGTGGAAACTTATACCTGATTCCAATACAAATCTTTAAAACCATAAACAAGTATGTAGTTTCTGTTAAAACTCTACACTGTGCTGCTATTTCATTTCCGTCGTGATTTGCACTAAACACATAAAACGACATATGTACAAGTGTAGACGTAGTCTTTTACAGCATTTTTCTAAACAATCAATAATGAAGTATTGTGCTTCTAACTCAGCTTATCAAGAAGCAGACTGATGATTTTGTTCCAATAGAAATTGACTAGATCATTTGCAATGTTGGTTTATAGTTATGCGTTAATTTTTATTTTATTTCATAGGATAATAATTTATATATTATAATTACGGTATCCGTTATTAATGAAATACAATAGTTGTTCAATGAAGTATTAAATAGCCGTGTAAACTGAGCTGTTCGATTAACTCGACGCTAGTGGGGTAAAGCGGATTACACTCATAATGAACCGTAATCCATTTCATAATGAAGCAATTATAATTAGTAAGCTCGCATACAACATATAATTTCAAAACAGATTTAAATTTTAACGTGTTTTAAAAGATAAATAGCCATTTTCATCAGTCTGCTATGTGTGTGCATGTGTGTTCATGTTGTGATGGTATTTTGCTTACATATATTAAACTTTTTTTTTAGAAAATAAAATGGTTAAATAATGCCAGGGTTAAATATTAACTGTTTGACTAACATTGTGTGTAAATTTTACGTTGTTGTTTTTTCTTTCATCTGTTTTGTTCTTTGTTTGTGATTTACTGTTTACGGATTCTTGTATAAATCGCGTGGTATGTTAATGCCATGTATTGTTGGAATACATAGTTCACGTACTACTAACGAAACATAGGTCTATAATTGGTGATAGTATAAACCCAATGCGATAGTTCTTAGTTAAATAAAATAAAGTCGTGACCGTGTTTTCTCTATATAAAGAAAACGCAATATTATATAGAAATGTAACTCCACGAGAAAGAGTAAAAGCGGACGCGCGAGCCGCAACGAAATTTCTTATCCCCTATTAAAGTGTATAAACAATAGACTCGTGAGATCTGCCAGTACATCGTGACAGTTGTTTTCGTGTGCGGACATAGTACTATCGCGCGGCGTTCACCGTACAATCTTACAAACTAACCAATAGAAAATGGTACCTCATTTAGCAAGAAACTAAATTCGATTCCACAATTCGTTCGATCCACTTTTTTTCTTGTATTTTTTGCCTCTAAATAGTGTTAAAGCGCAGCATGTAGTATTCAAGTGAACGATTTCGTACGGCGAAACGTTACTTTTCTGTGAACGCGTCTCGAGCGCGGGCAATCGGCGTGCGTCTGTCACGCGCTGGTGCGCTGGCCCTCTCGACCACAACGCAGACCCTCCGAGAGGCTCGCAGAAATGAGCGCATCGCGCCGCGCTCCCGATGCTCTGCCTCAACATATTAATCGATAAATAAGACCGCTCTCTCGATACCACCGTTATATTAAATAGATCGCACCGTTTAAATTCCCCGGCGCCTACTACCGCGAAATGAGGTGCTTAAAGGCCGCAGGAGGATGGCTCGCGCGGGTATGATCACGATTATCGATTATAACGATTTATCGATTTTAATTTAAACTGTTTAGTTTGTTGCTTACTTGGTTTTAGAATTGTTGAACGCTGTTTCGAAATGTGTTGTGTTTAGTTAGAAAAACGCCTGCTTTAAATGTAATAGTGAATCTTAAGTGCAATGGTTTTAAGTTGATATTTTCTTGCAGGCGATCAAGAAGCGCGAACAACAGGAGGAACACAAGACTGATGAGGAGGAGGCTGTCGATGACGTGCCTGATGGTGAGTTTTTAAATATGATATTCTTAATTTTAGCCCGATATTTTACCATTTAATATGTGTACCAACTCGATTCAAATTACGATTGTTAGAAACCCTTAGTTCTTTTTAGAAATTATATGACACAATATGATCGTGACACTTTTTTAGAAGATTAAAGTACTGACATACTTAATCTATGAGTTAAATGTCACTTTAATACGTTTTACAAAAGTTTATTATCATTCTACGCTACACGATTTTGCATTTTAAAAGATTGCAATAGTTTCGTAACATAGTGCGCATCATGCGCCGCCGTGATGTTGGTTTCACACCAGGGCAAAACACTTAGGCAGAGCAGTAAATAGTTCAGTTCTTCTAGTGTTTAATAAACAGTTACTGTCAAAGTAGTACTGTTTGGTCTTTGTCTATGCTTTCAACCTATAGCAGTACTGATCTGTCTTACTATGCTACCTCATAGTGCTATCCTCGTGGGTAACTTGCATGTTGTGTGTTGCGATATTATTTTAAACGTTCGTGAGCACTTCGTGTTGGCTAAAGTTCACTCAACAAAGAACATACCGATCTCATAGAACTTAAAAACTTTCCAACGTTCCCGCTTAATGTAGTCATTACTTTTTATAAACATTATTATTACGAAGGAAGACTATCACTGTATTGTTATTGACCATATACTCACGCTCTCAATACTATTCAACTTTCTTTTTCATTTTAAATTCATGGTTTGGAATCCGGACATATAGTTCTCAATCCGTCTCAAGCGATTCTTGGCTCTATCTAACTTTTATAAATTGTTCAATAAATTCTATACTTAAAAATCCTGGTTTAAAAAGAAACTGTGCTTAGATTTTCTTATCTGGAACTCTAATATTTTGTTACAATCTAAATCGCATGCCAAATCTACAGATAAAATCATGTGTGTCGTCATTGTGTATGTTAACATTCTTCTCTGTTATCGTATTCTTTTTTATCTCTAGTACTATCAACTATCATAAAATATTTCGGTCGAAAGAAACGCGGGTATAGCCTTTCCAAAGACCGGCAACGTATCTGCAATTTCTCAGGTATTGCGGATGTCCATGGACGTCGATGATAACCTCTTCTTTTATAAAAAAGAATCTTCTTCGTCAATTAACGATAGTATAAATATGAGAAATTGAACCTTTTTGCTTGGTTGGTTTTAATTTAAATACATCGTATCGCTTACACGTGATCCAAGGTTTTTAAATTGTAAAATATGGTACATTTTATTCTATAGAACCGCATTATCGACATTTATAACATCTTTACATTTTATTGAACCATTGTCAATGGTTTACGTCGACAATAGCTGTTGCAGTCTACATGAAGCAATATTTCATACGCAACGTTCGCTTCGACGATATCAAATCTGTATCGCGTCTTATCAGCTTATCTGGAACGCTAACTCCGCTATGTAGCTAACATAGGACGTGCCAGAGCTCACAACTCACTAGTAATAAGCAACGTTACAACGTTACTCCGGTAATTACACAGTGAAACTGAAATAAATGTCGCGTGATATCGCGCGAGTTATTCATTAGAAATTATATTACGTATTTTCATCGAAGGATCTCACATAGAGTTCGGTTTTGCATTCAAACAATTAGTACGGTCACAAACTTCGCAGTGTTACGTTATCGATCGTGTGCGAATAATAAAATCAATAGATATGAAATTCTGGAAGTGTTAGTGTTTTGTGCAGTAACTTTGTCGTGTTCAGTGTTGCGTGAATTTTTAATTTGTTATGATGTAAAAATACTTTGACGTCGTTTCTTTGGGAATTAATTATCAAGTTTTTATTGTTGAATACTTCGCATAGTTTAATAAACATATTACACGTATTGATTGCTTTTAAGTAAACATTGGTAATATTTAAAAAAAAAACAAAATATTAGTTCTCTGAAGAACAAATATTCTCTTGTTTGCATTCACACTTACTCGACCGTTGTCGATACGAAGGTCACGCTAGTTATAATAGTAGCTTATGAATATCATGTGATCCGTGGAACTGTCTTCTGTATTGTTACAATCGTCACACCCGGAAGCCCTCGTTTGCTCTATTAATCCGACAATAATGGTTGGTACCCTGTCATCTTCCTGTCCATACTTTCTCTGCCCTCGAAGCAAACCGTCTCTACCCACGTCCGAACTACGCTAGTTAACATTCACAGTACTTTCTCGATTTTGTCAGGAATTAATTATTATTATTTTTTGGGTTTATTGATAGGGATTCGTCACTAATGGTATAGGAATTCTTCAAACACCACACCCTTCTGATAACATGTAATTTATAAATCGATATATTGATAAATTGCAATCATTTTCACTTCGAAATTGTATTTATTAATACTAGCAACCGGTTCAATAAATCAAATATGCAATATATAATGTGTGTGTTATAATGTTATGTATTTTTAATCTAATCGCGTTGTCAAACTAATGTTTTTGTTTGTTTTGTTTCCTCATTAACCTATATCGTTTAATCATTGATGTTATAAAACTTGCAAAAAATAAAAATAAGATACTTGCTATTAATGATTTTTGATGGATTATGTATGTAGTAAGCAATGAAATGAAGTTGCTGGTTTTCGAAATAATAAATATAAAACCCATCTAGGATAGACACAGAATTGAACGATTCGATGACATCGATAAATATGAATTTAAAGAGATTTAATTGAAAAAAAAAAGTTAAACAAAATTAACTGACTCTGTAACTACTAAAAGAATAATACGACTAGGCTGCTACAAAAACACCTGCCCCCATTAATATACAATCAGATAATGTGTACAAACATAATATTATCACTTCGCACATGGAATATAAATCCTTGACACACAATTTTTCACCAAACAGTGACCACGCATTACACCAAGTTCTGTTTGTTTAGTCACATATTTGTAAAACATGAAATACTGTTGCTTTTTTAGGTTGTAATAAACACAGGGATTTAAAGCTTATTAGACTAATAAATAAATAAACAAAATCTGAAGCGTTTGCTAGTATTAATTACAACAGGAAAGTGAATAATGAAGTCATGTTATTGAACTGTTGACATAATCTTATCAGCAGTAGTAAAACAATTCGTTTGAAGACATGTACCAGCAGTGATCGGAGAGCTCTCCATCGACACGGTTTCCGTTGCTTTATCAGTTTAATTTATAATAGTTTTAGGCAAATATTGTGAAACTTAAAATTAGTAGTGATATGTTAAAAAATTAAAAATGTATCGGAGAATACAGTCTAGTAACATGACTGCAACACTTTATTAAGTGACTATTCCAGCTAGACAAATGAAGATTAGTTTGTACACATTGTAATATAATTCGAAAGCTTTAAAACATTTTATTATTGTAGCATTCAAAGAACTTAGGTGGTCCCTGTCAAGCGGTTGAAGAGTAAAGACAGATCGCTTTTAGTTCGCGAAGATCACGTCGGTCTCACGATTAAGCATCTATCAATTTCCCCGTCAGTTAATCATTGTTCTCACGACCGCCATCGTCCGGCGCGCACTCGGTTGTTTTGAACAAATTTTTAACCTCAATTAACTCCGACAACTTGGCGCTTGTTCGCAGACTTGTGGTCATTTACTAATGCGCCAACAGACAGTAGTCATTAATACACGAGAGTACGATGTTAATGTTGCGACTTTCTTTGATATGATACATTACTTTGTCACCGAACGCCTCGTTTATGTGTTTGTTTATAGATAAGGAATTGGTGTTAATTAAGTTTTAAATGTCAATAAAAGTGTAAAGTTCAATAACAAAGAAATGAAAGACAAAAGATTGGAATTAAAACTAAGTGTACGCGGGGACGGCTCCCTGAGCCGGGATAGTACTAGAAGCAGCACAAGAAGCAATCGAAGTAACTTCAGTAATGGTTCCACCGGTTTGCCGGTGAGCGAAATTTTCGCAATAGATCGCTTCTCAGCGCCACAGCATCGACCCTTCGATATCCAAACCAAAAGAAACGCTCAACCAATCCAACATGGATACCCTGCGCAAAGCTTGCAAACATTAAATTATTACGAGCAATCACAATATCCTACAGAAATAGCAGCTAATCGGCACAACCCATACATAGACTATTCAGAACCAATTAGATACGACGACAGATTCCAGTATCCACCCAATGTACAATATCAAGCAGTGTATGATCCAAATAATCGATTTTATGGAACATCAAGTCGAGCTGATGTACAAAGACCTGCTAGAGAGTACACCACAGAGCCTCGCTCTATACTCCAACGTGAACAAGGTCGTATGCCGTATGGCAGCTTACCACGGATGGTACATGCACAGCCGAATGTGCAGTACTACAACTCTCTGCCACGCACACATGACTACATACCAGAGGAGTATTCTGGAAATTATACGCTTCCCGCACCAAGACGTGTGCGCATCAGTGAACACCAGCCCATTGTTCATGGATATGGTATGTATTATATTAAATGACAAGGTTTAGATAATTACTATTTGTTTTCTTGCTGCTGTTTAAATCGTGAGATATAATTACACGTGTATATGTAACTACTTAAGGAGATAATTTTATGAATCATGTTTATATTCCTCGCGATATAATACCTAACCTTTCACGATCATAATTACAGCAGCTATCTGCAATATCAACTAACGATATGTTCAATTCACAACAAGGAGAAATTGCACTTGGAAAGCGGATTTGCATAGAAACTGAGCCAGTAATCGATACAAGATGTATACAAACATAATTCCATTAGTTTTCACTTTCAGTTATTTACTAATGATGCTTTTTGTTATCATGATGCCGAGTAATTAAAGCTGTTGTAGAATAAATGTTAAAATAGCTTAATATTAATTGCAGCTTAAAATCTATGGGTACTTACTAAAATGTTGTCTAATTCAAAACGCCTTTACACATTAAAGGTTAAAGCATTATCGATTAGGCCCACACGTGATGAAATTAGTTTATTCTTATTTAGACGTGGTGTCTCTGCAAC